CACTGACTTTCCGGAACCTTCTAGAAGAATACGAGTTGCCTGGAATGCCATCTGCCCTAAAGCAATGCTGTCTCTTACAATATTCATGGAAACTTTTATGTGTGAAACCTTTAGGGGACATAATATTCTCTACCAACTTTAAAGAGAAGCGACAACCGTGAAATCTGAGGCCGGGGTGGAGGGACTTCGCTTTTTGTGCACCTGGATCATTCGAGATAGCTACTATTATACAATGTTCAACGTGACCTTTCAAGACAAGGTCCTCTCAGGTAAGCCTTGCTTCTGTAGTCAAAGGAACAGTAAGAAGAGCTTAACTGCACACACCAAGTTGAGGTAACAGTACCCCTCTTCCTTTGACAAGCACAGGTTCTGAAGGAAAGCCACAAATATTTAGACTCAAATTAAACAGCACTGCCCTCCCTAATGGAAAATAAATTTGAAGCTGATGCTCCCTTAGGGGCTCCATACTTCATATTCAGTACATTTGGAGACTGACATGGCCATGAAAGGTACTACGGAGAACAATCGAAGCATTACAATCATCTTAGCCCATGGGAGGTTCTACTATACATTACAGCTGTTATGATTATTGAAAATCTTCTTTGATAATTGTGAGACGTCACCAGAGGATATGAACTACTGAGAGACAGTTTTTGTCCCACATCTTTGTTCAGAAGAAGATCTTCCTTCGAAATGGCAAGACATTCCGGAGATCACTGTCAATATATTTTTTTCTATGATTATGTATATTCTTTTTGTTCACTTTTCTATGATTCTTTAAAGACAGATATTAAGCGTCACTTTCTCACAGTTTTTCTTGTTCTCCGTATTATCTCATTACTGTGCCAATCAATTGTTATTATGGCCGTGAAAGGTGCCAACCTGCAAATGGCCAAAATCGACAACTGCCCGGAACAGTGCCTTCTCTGTTGTGGTGCCCACCTTGTGAAATAGTCTGCCTGAGGAGGTCAGGAATGCTCACACTCCCCTGCATTCTGCAAATTATGCAAAACTGTTAAGCTTTTCTACACAGGTAACAGGGTAGTACCACTACAAAACGAAAGAAGAAGAAGAGGAGGAAGAGGAAGAAGAGGAGGAGGAGGAGGAGGAGGAGGAATTTGGATTTATACCCCGCCCTTCACTTGGAGTCTCAGAGTGGCTTACAAACTCCTTTCCCTTCCCCTCCCCACAACAGACACCCTGTGAGGGAGGTGGGGCTGAGAGAGCTCTTTCAAGAACTGTCCTTGAGAGAACAGCTCTGATAAGAACTATGGCTTGCCCAAAGTCACACCAGCAGGTGCAAGTGGAGGAGTGGGGAATCAAACCCGGTTCCCCCAGATTAGAGTCTGCACACTTAACCACTACACCAAACTGTGGTCTATTTCTACTATGTACAGTTTGCTATAAAATGGATCCTACTATGTACTTTTGTATCATTTAACACACGCATTTCCTCAGTTCTGCTTTTTAGATTTATGGCTAGTTCTACACCCCAAATCCCATTTCATTGTTTACTGGATGTCCCACCTGTCGATTGCATTGACTCACTCTGTGTTATCCACCTTGAATCTCAGTGAGAAAGGTGGTCTATAAATAATGTAAATAAATAAATATGATTGTTTGGCCCCCAAAATTTAAACCTGCTTATTTATTGTCAAGACAAATGTGTAACATATAAATGGCCTGTGCTGCAACAGCGTGTTCTCGGTTTATCTACAACAAGATGCTGAATGCAGAGGCAACAAATTGAACCAAAAGATTCTTTGCCTGTTTTTAAACCAGATAAGTTTGGGGATGGAAAAGGAAGGGGCGGGGGGAGTGGCAAAATGGGTTCATCTGAGCAGAGATGAACTCAGTACCCATTTGGGCTCAGAGGGGGGAGTGTTTTAACACATTTCAAAGACTAGCACCTTCACTACCACATCTACTAAGAAGAAGAAGAGAAGAGAAGAGATTGGATTTATACCCCGCCCTTCACTACCCAAAGGAATCTCAGAGCGGCTTACAACCTCCTTTCCCTCCCCCTCCCCACAACAGACACCCTGTGAGGTAGGTGGGGCTGAGAGAGCTCTTGACAGAAACTGCTCTTTTTTCAAGAACAGCTCTTATCAGGACTACGGCTTGCCCAGGTTCAACCAGCAGGTACAAGTGGAGGAGTGGGGAATCAAACCCGGTTCTCCCAGATTAGAGTCTGCGCACTTAACCACTACCCCAAAAGAAGAGATTCGATTTATGCCCCGCCCTTCACTACCCAAAGGTGTGTCAGAGCGGCTTACAAACTCCTTTCCCTTCCCTTCCCCACAACAGACACCCTGTGAAGTAGGTGGGGCTGAGAGAGCTCTGGCAGAAACTGCTCTTTTCTCAAGAACAGCTCTTATCAGAACTACAGCTTGCCCAAGGTCATCCAGCAGGACAAAACCCGGTCTGCGCACTTAACCACTACACCAAACTGGCTCTCTGAGCACGCTTTGTGAACTTCTGGAAAGAACAAACTCCTTATTTCCTTCAACAGGGCATGCCAATGTGAACATGCTTACAAATGTGATTCTCACAAATGACAGGCCCTGAAAGTCTCTCTAGCCTGTTCTAGCTGCTGACAACCCAGTCAAACTGGACAGCATGTCAGTCGCCATCTAACAGATGCCTGAAGTTAAGCAATGCCCAAAAGGGGGGAAATTGCCAGGGTCTGCGGAGGGGTGACAAGTGTGCAAACAGTCACTTTCGCTTGTCCAAATAAATAAATACTGCGAGAAAACACGCTCATGATTGCTCTTGCTGTTGGCGTGCATATGCCAACAAGCATCTCTGAACTGGACAGACGCTATTTTGCCCTGCAGAGAAGAGCATTCAGGCAGGTCACAGCAGGTGATGGGCTGGTCTTCCCTAGCAACTGCCAATACCCACTGACCTTAATGGCTGCCAACGATCCTCACAGGAAGGAAGAGGAGGAAGAGGAAGAAGAAGAAGAGGAGGAGGAGGAGGAGGAAGAAGAAGAAGAAGGAGAGGAGGAAGAGGACGAAGAAGAAGAGGAGGAGGAGGAGGAGGAGGAAGAGGAAGAAGAAGAGGAGGAGGAGGAAAAAGAGGAGGAAGAGGAGAAAGACAATGACTTGGATTTATACCCTGCCTTTCACTCAGAGTCTCAGAGCGGCTTACAATCTCCTTCCTTTCCCCTCCCCACAACAGACACCCTGTGAGGTGGGGCTGAAAGAGCTGAGAGAACTGCTCTTGAGAGAAAAGCTCTGAGAGAACTGTGACTGACCCAAGGTCAACCAGGTGGCTTCATGTGGAGGAGTGGGGTATCAAACCTGGTTCTCCAGACTACAGTCCACCGCTCTTAACCACTACACCAAACATGGCTAGTAGGGGAAGGGGAAGGAGTTTGTAAGCCGCTCTGAGACACCTTTGGGTTGTAAAGGGCGGGGTATAAATCCAATGTCTTCTTCTCTTCTTCTTCTTAACCACTACACCAAACATGGCTAGTAGCCACTGACAGACCTATCCTCCATGAATCTCTCTAATCCCGTTTTAAAGTTGTCTATTTCTGTGCCCATATAGAGATGTAAAATTTCCGGAAATTTTGAAGCTCGGGAAAAAACGAAAATTTTCGGAAAAATTGAAAAAATGCTACATTGGCATTTCTTTTGTTTTTTCTAGATTGAAAGTCATTCTGTTACTTTAGGAACATAAAATATGACTATGGACATTTTTACTTGGCATGAAATTATCACAACTAGCATATTAAAAATATAGTGTATCCAAACAATTATTACAAACAGAATACCCACCCACATGCAAAAACAAAACTGAAACCTTTTTATTTTCTTGTGACAATAGCACCTCCTAAAGGAAGAAATGCATCTTGTTCTTGCATTGGAGAGTTCAGTTTGTAACCTAGGACTTGCTTGTCCTCCGTGCACAGAAATTAGATCAATCTGACACCATACATATTTTTTAGAAATGATTTGGACAATATCTGAACACCTTGCCTTAAAATATTTTATTCATCATGTTAAAATAAAACGTTCCATAATTAATTTTTTTTCTTTTTTCAATTTTTCCAATTTTTCGGAAAAAAATAAAAAGACTTCAGGGAAAAAATGGGGAAAAACCGTTTCCCCCCCAAAAAATTCCGTTTTTTTCCCGGGCCTTCACATCTCTATGCCCATCACTACATCCTCTGTCAGCAAATTCCACATTTTAATCACTCTCTGAGTAATTAAATGCTTACAATAAGTCTGGACCACTGGATGCAGAACAAGGACTAAAGAGGGCCCCTTTCTGTAGAGTTCTGGCCCTTTGAGTTCTGATTCTCTCATTAATTTGTTGTGAGATCGTCACTCTTTCTAAAGAAGCTCCTAGAATTAAATACTACTCTTAAATTTCAAATCCAACTACTAAATTAAATGAATTACAGAAACTACACTCTTAAGTGTAATCCACCTTGAGTCTCCATGAGAAAGATGGGCTATAAATGAATAAGTCAAATAAATAATCAACATCTAGAAAGGAAAACAAAAAGTGTGCTGTGCAGACATTATAAGAGTAATTCCCAAAGTGCTCACTGTGAGAAATAAAAGTATTTGGGGCTAAGCTGTGAGCCTCCAGTACCCTACACATGCACAGTGACAAGGACTGCTTCCAGCATCTCTGCAAGACCTTCTGATTCAGAGAGACAACCAAATTATTTGTCCTCAGAGGCAGCTGCCTGTTAGAATTACCTACCAGCCACTGGCCTATTCTTGCCTCCTTCCAGTCAACACACACGGATTAGCCATTCATGCAGACACAGAAGAGGTATGCTCCCCTGAGGACCATTAATTCTTTGACATTCTACAGGCCAATCTTTTCAGGAGTGAAACTTGAGCTCAGAAGAAAAGCATGCCTCAGATATCAGGATACCCTGCACTGAAGGTGGAGCTCCATCTTAGTGCAAAGCATGGGAAACAGAACTGTGTACTCTGCTAGCATACGGTTTGATGGTTTGACAAAAACAAACTTACCAGAACCCTGTCTCCAATTTTGAGTTCCCGTTCTCCTTTCTTCAGCGAGCCGGCTTCAGAAAGATTAGATATCGATTCGCTCGCCGTTTTGGAGAGGTTACTGATTTGAGAAACCGGGTGCTCCTTAGCAGCAGGAGGAGATGCCTTGTGGGGAATACCTGTCGTGGGGAGGTGAGCTGCCACTGAGGGCGAAGACACAAGGCTGGCGGCCGACACGGAGGTTGGCGAAGTGGCTCTGGAAGCGTGTGATGCCTGCGTCCCATTGGCTTCATCCTCCGCCAACACTTTCCTGGTGAGCTTGGACGGTCTCGTGAAGATTCCCCTTAAGGGCTCACACTGGAAATAGCGAACTCCAGCCACGGAGCCGTCGTTCTTGCCGATCGGTTCGTCCAACACAATCCCCGCCCACTGTCCCGGAGCAAACTGCGTCTCTCCCAGGAACTGAATAAAGCCGGGCTTGTTCCCATTGACCCAAACGCGCTCTCCGATGTGGAAGTCATCGACAAACTCCTCCTGTGCTTCTGAGGTGGGTGCGCTAGATGTCTTCTCACAGGCGGCAGCCTTTTCTGCCGGGGCTGGAACTAAATGCAGACAACCGTGTGTTAATGTTAGTAGTACGAGTTACAAAAAACATCTAAAAGGAACATGCATCGTAATTTTTTAAATATTTTAATGTGGTTGTCTCCTTTGAAACCTGTAGAAAGGCAGTATATGAATACAGAAAATAAAAAGTAGATCAGGGATTCTCTGCCCCAGGAGGTGGTGGCGGCTACATGCATGGACAGCTTCAAGAGGGAATTGGATAAACATATGGAGCAGAGGTCCATCAGTGGCTGTTCACCACTAGACAGGAACTCTCGGTCTGGGGCAAGGGAAGCTCTGTATTCTTGGTGCTTGGGGGGGCAACAGTGGGAGGGCTTCTGGTGTCCTGGCCCCACTGGTGGACCTCCTGATGGCCCCTGGTATTTTTGGCCATTGTGTGACACAGAGTGTTGGACTGGATAGGCCTTTGGCCTGGTCCAACATGGGGTTCTCTTATGTTCTTATAGGAACTCTCGGTCTGGGGCAAGGGATGCTCTGTCTTTCTTGGTGCTTGGGAGGGGGGCAACAATGGGAGAGCTTCTAGTGTCCTGGCCCCCCTGCTGGACCTCCTGATGGCCCCTGGGATTTCTGGCCACTCTGTGACACAGAGTGTTGGACTGGATGGGCCACTGGCCTGATCCAACACTGGCTTCTCTTATGTTCTTAGGGATCCTCAACATGGCGACCATGGTTGACATGGCAGCCACTGACACCTTTTCTGGTGCCCAGCAATTTTTTTAGAAAGTGGGTGTGGCCGGGGTGGGGCTCTTCCACAGCAAGTCTTCTGACCGGCCACTGGAGAGTTGATTGGGTGTGCAGATTTTTTAAAATGTTGCTTCGGCGGCAGCTGCCACCACAGCACGAGGATCTCCGCCGTGTGATTGAAAGTAAGCTGGGGCAGCCATTCTGAGGCTGGCTCCGGCTTCTGCTACAGCTGGCGATCTCTGAAGTAGATTATAATGAAATGCAGTGGAGGCCAGGCCCTCCCTACTGCCCCCCCCTTTCTACTACCTGCCTGCCCACCTACTCAGGCACACTTAACCTGCCTTCAGACTCACCTTCTACATGTGTGTGCTGGATGCAACATGGTGAAAGAATCTGCAGTCTTATCAAACCAACATGGGTAGGACCTTAGTCGGGTCAGTAAAAGGCAGCCTTGCCTTGTTACTGCGCAACCCAACCCCGAGCCCCGGGATTTGTTAACCAAGAGAAAAGTTTTCAACACTCAACATATAATTCTCATTTTCTCTGCTTTTATTAAAAAGCGTCTTCAGATTTTATAAAGAGCGTCTTCATATTCCGTGCCCCCCCCCCCCCCGAAGTGGCTATTAAAAATTATGCCTGCGTCAGAAACGTGAGCAGCGCTGGGAAATACGTGCAGAGCCCTTTATCTTAAGAAGTTAAACTCTTCCTTACCAGCAGCGACAGATGCAGCTGATTTCAACAATGTAATTCCAGGCTTGCTGATCTTGGTGGGAGCCTTAAGCCCACTCGGTTTCAACGTACTCATCTTTTTCTTTTGCTGTCGGTGCTCGATCCCCTCTGACTGCAGCAACTATCTCCTCCCGCATATGGATGCGTAGGGTCTTCTACGCCGTTTGCCTCTGAGTCAAACCTATAGATGTACCGGTTTGAAGTGTACATATATTGGGGGGGGGGGGGGGGAGAAAAAAAAAGACAAATAGGTTTTTCTTCTTTAAAGGCTTGTAAACCCAGCACCCAAAGCAACGCCAAAGGAATACTTTCAGGGTGAAGCTGGTGATTCCTAGACACGGGAAGTTTATTTTCTACTAAAAATCATCACAGCTTCTGGAAGCCTGAGACATCTGGATGACTCTCCAGTACTTTAAGAACCGGCTGCTGTTTTCTAATTGAGCTTTCAGCTAAAGGCTATTTTGAAAAAGAAAAAAAGAAAACAAAGCCCTGGACAGCTTTACCAACATTCCCACAGGAGGAAAAATACCAAGTATTTGAGGAATTCAGGCAATTCTAGATATTTGTGAAGTGTTGCAACATTCTGGAGCAACACAGTTTAGCAAGTGGGCAAAAAAAATTTTTTTAAGAAGCAAAACTCAGCACATGATGCCCAGAGTATCAGAAATCTGCTAAGATCTGAACACACGCGCACACGCACACACAATGGCTCAGCAGAGCACTATCCCTTGACAGCCAATAGCCAAACGCCCACCTTTGCTGCGCTAGAATTCCTAGAAGTTCACAAGACGTGTTAGCCTATTATGCAGTCCCCTTGGAGTGCCCCAGCGCCATTCCTCTGTAGCCAGTGCTAGAAAAGGAGTCCCTCCTCCACAGCTGCTAGCAAAACAGCACTGCTTTCATTTAGAGACCTAATAAAGGCTTTTCAGACGTAGCCCCAAGACAAGATTAATTTTCCAAAGCAGTTTTAATCAAGGATTCTTCACTTTGTGATCTGGGTTGTTCTCCTTGAACGCGTACAAGAACCACAAATGGTTACAAAAACAGCCTGTTTCCGTTAAAACACACTGATCTGTGTCTAACGTTCCTCTCTGGAAAAAGCGAGAATCCAGCAGCACCTTAAAGACTAACAAAATTTGTGGCACCTGAAGAAGTGAGCAGCAACTCACAAAAGCTCACACCCTGCCACAACTTTTGTCAGTCTTTACGGTGTTACTGGAACTCTTGCTCTTTTATACGGCTACAGACAGACTAATACAGCTACCAGTGTTGATGGACCCCTCTGGCTATTTGCAAAGAAACAACTTACGTCAAAACATAGTTTAAACAGACAGCATTTGACTATTAAGACGGGCTGGGTAAGTAAAATGATTAAGTCGCCGCAAGCAAAAAACAACTCCCGAGGAGGCAAGGAAGTTTTTAAAGTAGCGAAACGGCAACTGTTTTCTCAGAACTGGATATACAGGTTATGGAAAGGCAGTCTTGGGCCGGCTGTCCACACAGCACGCTGGCATCCGCCCAAGCCTGTGCACACGCAGCATTTAGATCATCCCCCATGCTTGCCAGAAGCACGCTGGCCTGGTACAGAAGCCAAAGTGTTAACGGGAGGACAGAACGCTCTTCTATGGGACCGACGGTTAAACAAAGTCAGATGTCGCTCTTGCCCCGAAGCTGAAAACTCTTTTGCTGCAGCCAGGGCTATTTTTGGGAAAGAACGCACAGGAATGGAGTTCTGGCTGGCTCCTGAGTTGGCAACACCCAGCAGGAACTCATTAGCATAATAGGCCACACCCAACAGCAGGAACTCATTAGGATTGGCTACATTAGAGGTGTGTGGCCTAACATGCAAAGGAGTTCCTGCTACAAAAAAAGCCCTGGGTTTTGACAACAAACAAGGTAAACAGAATAAGAAGCAAAAGGTGGGTGTGGCTTCTGGTACACTTCTGGTAACACAGGGGTGTGGCCTCATATGCTAATGAGCCGTGCTGTCAGGGGTGTGGCCTAATATGCTAATACGTTCCTGCTGTTGGGTGTGGCCAATTATGCTAATGAGTTCCTGCTGGGGTTTTTCTACAAAAAAAGCCCTGGCTGCAGCTAAGGACACATCAACAGGGAAATAAGCTGGTTACATGTAGTTACAACTGCTAGAATATTGTATGCCAAATATTGGAGAAGAAAGGAGATACCTTCAAAAAGAAGAAATAATAAATAAGCTACTAGAAACTGCAGAAATTGAGAAATGTAATTTTGAAAGGATATAAAGAGGAAAATTTTGAAGAAACATAGTCAAGACTTTACAAGTGGATTGAAGAATATAACAAATGAAACACGAACATAACCGAAACAGAGGACATAAGAACATTTACGATAAAATGTGTAAAGCTATGCTTAATAATATAAGGTGTAGAAATATTCTTATATTGAGAGATGTATGGATAACATAACAGTCAGTTTAAAAAGGAGAAATTCTCCCACTTAATGTCTGTTTTGTTTGTTTGTCTTTGTTGTTACAAAATAAAAAATTATTCTCTAAATTAAAAAAAAAAAGGAAAAGAAATTGGGCAGCCTCAGATTTCCCCACTGGGGTGAAACCGAAGGGTTAAGACAAAACAAAGCCTCAGGAGTCACTTGAATTAAAAAAAGAAGCTTGGCTACCAAGTCCAGCAAGAATTTGAAGACCCCTGTTTTACACATGCCAGGATTCTCAGCATTCTGAGTTGTCAAATACTTCTACAATAACTGTTTTCAGAAGGCATGACCAGTTGTTTGCCGACAGAAATAAAGAGGTACGCTGGACCATCTATAAAGTATATCACGCAGCAGCAATGGTGAGTACCAGGACAGCAAAGCTGTGCCCAGGGCTTTTTTTGTAGAAAAAGCCCAGCAGGAACCCATTAGCATAATAGGCCACACCCAACACCATAAACTCATCAGCATATTAGGCCACACCCATGACACCATATCTCATTAGCATATTAGGCCACACACCCCATGTTATCAGAAATGTGCTCATCCAGCCACACCACCTTTTGCTTCTTATTCTGTTTGCTTTGTTGTCAAAACCCAGGGCTTTTTTGGTAGCAGGAACTTCTTTGCATGTTAGGCCAACACCCCTAATGTAGCCAATCCTAATGAGTTTCTGCTGTTGGGTGTGGCCTATTATGCTAATGAGTTCCTGCTGGGCGTGGCCAACTCAGGAGCCAGCCAGAACTCCGTTCCTGTGCGTTCCTGCCCAAAAATAGCCCTGGCTGTGCCACAGGAGAAACTGGCAATGGGTTAAAAAGTGTTAGGGAAGTCTGACTTTATCAGTGGGGCTGTGTGCTGTTGCCCACTGTGGGACTAAAAGAAGCCTTTCTCCTTCCTGTTCAGACTATTCCCTGGAATTTCACAAGCGCTCTACAGCCACAGTTCATTTAGTCTAATGCCACTGGTGTAAATCCCTTGAGCTGAAACACCCCCTGAAACCCTTCAGATGATTATTTCCAGCAGATTAACCACAAGAGTCGCCTATGGGGGCAGGAAACTGACCAAAGCACAACCATTAAGTCAGCCGGCGATAAAATCAGCCACAGGCAATAAGGATTGATTAGAAAAGCATTCTAAAAATATAATTATAGACCAGTCACAAGGACAATGCAAGCACGTGACACTTCGGTTAGCAGTTAAAACCAGCCAGATTTACTGTACTCAAGGCCAACCAAAGAATTTAAGTGGCATTAGAAGCACTAACAGATGCAAAAGGCAGGATATAGCCAAAGATTTAAGAAGAAAATGTACATTTAGAGATGCAGTTTCCCTCCTAAATAGGCTTTGAGAGAGAGACACTGAAACCTTCAATCTGTCCTTGCCTCTGACATCAGTTGCTCTGCGATTCAGCCGGGATTCAACTGTTTTACTGTAAACTAAAGTCAGAGTTTATCATCATCTAAATAGTCGCTTCTTGTCTTGCTATCCAGTCAGTTCTAAAAGCACAACAGCCACCCTGTTTAATCAGGCCAAAGGTACACCTATTCTATGTGACACACAACAGTCCATTCTACATGCCAACAGACAGCAACAATGGAAAATACCAACTCTATAATGTTTACTTGCAAATTTTAGAAATCCAAAGTTTAGGAATACCCTGTGCGAACCTTGACCAGCTTTGTGAATGTGTCACAGACTTAAGGGAGAATCCAGGGATGATTCAGCCCCAAAATATTAATTCCTATGCAGCATCCCACATTCCCCCCCCCCCGCTACTCCACCTTGTGACCCATTACAAATTAACACACATCATTACTACTACAGTCCATCAGAAAAGATTAACAAATGTTCTAGGCCAGAAATATTTAAAATGAAAATGCTTAAGAATCAATAAACACAACCATCCAACAATAAAATCTAGCAGTATAAAAACCAGCAGTAAAACAAGCAGTAGTTTCCTCCAGTACTCTTATCAAGAAGCATTATCTCTCCCCACAAAAGAGATTTTTTTAAAAAAACGAGAATGAGGTAACAAACAAAATCAAGCAAAACATGAGAAAAGCAGACCATATTTTTGTTTGCTTTTTCAAACATTTGTCATATAGCAAATTACAAAGGATCAGGAAGAATTGTTCTACTATATAGCATTTCCACAAGGAAACCAGTATTTTAGAACAGAAGTTGGTATCTAGAGGGGCAAATCATGTCAGGTGCTATCAGTCTGCTTATTCAAAGACCACTGATTTTAACAGGACAGGCGACAAAGTAAAAAAAAAAAACAAGCTGGCCTTGGGAGACCCAGGTGCAACCTAACCTTCAATCATGTACATATCAGTCTTTACAAGATCGTAAAGAGAATGTGGAATATATTGAATGATATTCCCTAGGTGTGACGAGAAACTGTCATTCAAAACAACACCTGATTTTAAATATTAATCTGTACACAGTAGCACAACAATTTTTTTAAAGTTTTGAAAAGTTTTATTAATCTATAGAAGATACTATACATTCTCAGTAATTCCACCACATGAAGCTCTGACCAGACAGTGAATATTAGTAAATGTCCTTGTGAAAAGTTACATGTTGGCAAAAACACTGAGTGTGCGTGTGTGTTGCCGTCAAGCCACTTTGGACTAATGGTGACTCTATGAATTAATGACCTCCAAAATGTCCTGCTCAGGTCTTGCAAACTAAGGACCGTGGCTTCCTTTGTAG